AAACTTTCACAATAAAGTATTCTCATTGAGCCCTATATCTATGCAAAATTTGAAATTGAAATTCAAAATTCAGTTTTCCAAGTGTTCCTGAGAGGGACCACAGCTCTCTTTTCTTAAACATACAGTAAAAAGGCAGTATATCAGCAATAATAAGCTAGCGGTACGAACTTTTTTCAGAGAATTCATAGATCGTTAGGATCTACATAATGCGCATATTCTCGACTTAAAAGCGATGTGACAGTTGAGAATGCTCCCTCGTAAGCTTTCAGCAGTCTCATTGACACATCTCATATGAATGATTTAAGTCCATTCCGTATGTGCACAAGCTTTACTTTCTTCAGGGCTCCACCAGGATGATTTCTAGTCATACGGACGAATAGAATAAAAATGATATTTATTCGAAGCGATTTATTCGACGAAAACAAAAAAAAAATAATTCATCGAAATAAGTCTATTTGATAGAAAATCGTTGTATACGATTATTTCCCCACTCGACGACATAAAGATTGCCATCTCGATCATAGGATAAACCTTGGGGACCCTTGAACTGATTTGCTCCTTCTCCTACACCATTTCCACCCATAATTACAGTGCCCTGTTTCGCCCCTTTAGGCCAACGCATCACTCGATTATTCTTGTCGTCTGCTACATAGACGGTATCCAACGTATCGACGAACAGTCCCTTTGGCCAGTTCAATTGTGTCAGAGCCGCTCCTTCGCCTTGATCACCAGCGACGATAATTCCTTCTTTTGCACCGTTATTCCATTTCATCACACGATGATTGTTACGGTCTGACACGTATACAGACTGTTGTTGATCGACAAAGACGTAGGATGGCCAGTTGAGTTGATTGAGACCAACACCTTGGCCATTGCCACCAGCTACGATAGTTTCATTCTTGTCTTCTATTTGATATCGTCGTACTTCATGTTGTTCAAAGTTACAGGTGTAGAGATATCTCTGATCGTCCATGGCTAACCCCCAACATCTAATATTGTCGATGAGGACTTCTCCTTTAGTTGTGTCATTACGACGAAACCATCGTACGATTCGTTGATTCCTTTGATCACAAATAATGATGCTATCCATCTCTTTGTCGATTATAACATCAGTTGGTTCATTTAATTGATCTAATCGACTTCCTTGGCCGTTACCACCAGCTACTACTTGTCCATTCACATCACTCATCTTCCATTGGATGATACGATGATTGCCCATGTCAGCAATGACCATCGTTTGGTCATCATCAACGAACAGACCCTCAGGGCCATGCAGTTGATTGATGCCATCACCGGATCCGTGACCTCCAGCGACGGTCATTCCATCCTGTACCCATTGGGCATCGGCTGAAATATTTGGAATCACTACAATGAACGAGAAAAAAAGGAATCGTTTTCGTCGCTGTCGAGGATATTTATCTTTCTTTCGTGGGGAAAAATGTTACAAATGAGATATTCTTCTTCGAGGAAATTCGGTAAAACATTCAAGAATGTTTTTACTGGAGATATTATTTGGAAACCTATTCTAGTTTCCTATCAAAAAAGACTTCAGAACGATTCTTGTCATTATGTCACTTCCCAACTTCAATCTTGTGCAGTTTTTGACATTATGTATTTGCAGGAATTTTTTCATATTTCGACCAAGGTCTTCTAGATCCTAAAGAGTAGAATCATCAAATTAAAATAACACCTCCAATTTGAGACGGTTAGGAAGAAGCATTTTTCGAATTCTGAGAAGATGAATGATAATTGCGTTCATGCTCTCGATACGAAAATATAGTGACCTCATGAGTTAATTTGTAATTTTTAATTCAGAAACTTAGCAAGATTAAATCCTTGAGGGACTTATGCGATGAAAACTTGAACTCAATTAGACTCCAAAGTCGAAGAATCCTTAAAACATTCTGTGACGATCTTGTCAGAAGGATCTCAAACGTTAAGATTTCGAGTTCTTGCGAAACTATTGTGCATGATAATCAGTATGAACCTTTTAGTATACTTTTCACAACGTCCGAAGCAATTCGTGATAAAGTACAAGTTTTTACCAACTTAAGTCAAGCTGTTCGAAAGAGGGTTCTACTAGAATCGTAGTAGATTTATAAAAAAAACTTGAATACATACGAAATAGAGAAAACTTGACAGAATTCCAGGGGTATCTTTGGAATCAGACGCCTTCTGCTTTTGACTTACTCAGAGGAATAATGGTAATTTTATCCAAGCTGTCTATGGGGAAACATAACAATTTAATTAGCTTTCTAGAGATACGGTGCGAGGACTTTTTTGTGATATGAAATGCAAATTCTTAATCGGAAAAGTGGAAAGGAGTAACGATAAGCTATTATTAAGATTTTGAGAGGGTCTACTACAATGTGTCATCTGGAAATGTTAGAATAATGTCTATGAACTTCAGCTGAGAATACTAGTTATAGTATTAGGATGTAGATGGAAATAATTCATGGAAATCTTATTTCAAGTAACGTAGATCAGAAATACACGATTGTTCTCTCAAAGGATATATTTCAATTGAAAAAATAAAATCGAACATTTACTAATATGAAAAGGCATAAAATA